GCTTGATCGCTGGAGTCCCCTTGCTCGCCAGCAGCTTCGGCACAGGTCACCGAATTGAAATCATCGATAAGTTGACCGAATACGATACCAATGATGGGGAAAGGGACACCCGATCCAATTGCAGACGCCAGGCCAACAAAGAGGGTTACCAATTCGAGTCGTGAGGGATTGGCAGCCACAAGCAGCCGAGGGTAGTCTGCAAGGTTCCCGAAACCCATGGTGACTCGAGAATGGCGTTCAACACTGGGATTGTCGTTTGAGTGTTGAAGAAGCTAAGTTCTTACAGGCGATCAATTTATCGCTTTGCAGTTTTAAAAGTGGCGTCACCATGAAAATTGCACCCACTTCTTAGCGTGAGTCCATTCGGCGAAACTACTTTAGCTGGGTTGCGACAAAGACCCAAGGAAAGATGTATGCCAAGTGTAAAGATGGGGATTCCAGGGGATTTCCGGATGTTTAACCTGCCGATTTGATTTTTTCCACTCTGCCGACATCGGTTTTGACAGTTGGATCCGAAGATGCAACCCACAAGGGGGGCACCTGAAGAATTTCAATTATACGGACGGGGGTTATCAGATCAAAATGGGGGTTTGAGTACCGTGGTTACCCTTACTGCCGTCCGTACGTGTAAGTCTGGGTCAATACGGCTATACTGTATCTATAAATCCCAAGTGTCCGTATTTTACATCCGGAAAAAATACACTATGTATTTAATAAAACAAAGTGGAGAGACGGTAATTAATACGGTACCTCAAACTCTGTCTTAGAGCTAGCAGGACGTCCTATTGGCTGATATCTTGTTAAATATCCGAAAAGCATATTCCATCAGAATACGTGTAGTATAACACAATATCATTATTATTCGAACGTACAGAAAGACAACAAAGCCCAGTGGGTCCTGTCACATCATCCTATCTTTTTAAAAAAGCCCAGAAGATTATCTGATTGATTGGGGCAAAGCGGAGTGCATAACGCGTTTCTAGGGGGAACTGCCTGAACAAGGAAGCTCGAGGTGGAGAACACGAGCTACCCCCACTTGTCTCGGAAAGATGATGGAAATGAATTAAAAATAAAAGAATATCTCCTGAAATTTTATACATTGCACAATGTTAAGCTTCGCCGATCAGAGTCAAGTATGAGTCAAGAAAGCTCAAGCAAATTTACAATTTCGCATTCCACGCGGCGCGATCAGCGGATTCTAAAGGTCGCTCACGTCCGTCCCAGAATAGTGGACACAACTGGAACCATTTTTCGCGACTGCAAATCGAATGGACCGATCGCTTATGGCCGAGATCGACGTACTTGCCAATTGTGAGTCCTTGCGCGTTCTCGTAGGACAAGATGGTCGCCCCGGTGGCCTTGGGCTCACCGACAGCATTAGCGGTCCTGGGATCGTCCAAGAAAACATAGTGGATACAGCTCGAGTACCAGGCATTTACGCGGTGTGCACCTCGGAAGCTGGCATCGCCGACAAGAGAGTGACGGCCTCGGTCATAGTCTCCAGCATCGTAGTAGGCGCCATAGTGATCCTCCTGTAGACAAGGTGTTAGTGTCAATGCCAGCCTAAAGCTTGACGGAGTCGGGGGATTTACCTTTGACCAGTACAACTCATAATACGAAAAGCGGGTATCATTGAAGCGTCCGAACAAGCACAGAACATGGGGATCGAAGTGCAGTTTGCGCAGATACTCGGTGTGCTGTTCAATAGTTCCAGTCTCATTCCAGCCTGCGGCAACACGCGGGTCATTTTGCCACTTGTTGAACAGCTGGACGTGTTCCGCATTTTGCCAGTCAACGACTTCGAGCGAGAAGTGCTCGTTGATCTCAGGGATGTAGCGACTGTAGGCAATTGATCCGGGGAACGGCTTAGGGCGGCGAGTCGGGTGGCGGGTATATACAGGCTCCTCGGGGAACTTGTTTGTCATTTGGTAGTTCTCCGGCATGATGGGATACTGAGACAAGGGCTCCCGCATGGGGCCGTCTGTGCCATCTCCCACCACCCAGATAGGACGAGGGCCCAATGGAGAAGCAGCACCCTGCCAGAAGGCGCTTCGGAGAATCAGCAAATCATCGAATTGCAGAGCCTTGTTTTCTCTGTCCCGCAGGTTCCGCGGGTGGTCGATTGCCAACCCGGTGGTAAGAAGCTCATTGCGGATGACTTCTTGCCCTGTGCCGGACAGGGTCAGTCTGAAGTACTCGATTGTTGGGTGACCAAGATAAATGGCGTGAACAACGTTCCAAATTTGGCCCAAAGAAGGGGTGCTGTTCCCTGACCACTGGAAAACAGTCTGGGGACTGCGACGCGCGCGACCCCAGGGACTGTTATCTGAGATAGGTGGTTGCTCGGCTTTGGGAATGAATGTCAAGTCAAGCCATGAGAGCGAGTCTGAGTGTAGCTGTTCAGGCAAAGGCCGGCCCTTTGCGGGCTGCTCGTCAAGTGTCAAGGTGCGCGTAGCCGGTGTCGATCCATTGACTGTGTTCACACGATATGCGGTCAGGTAAGGGTGTGGTAGCTTGACCAAAGGATACTGGTGTGATTTGGAGGCCATTGTCGTAGTTTCTCGATCGTCAAAGGTAGGGATCAAGAATTCCGAAGGAGTTGGAGTGTCGGTGTAAGAAAAAAAAAAAAAGAGAGCTCCCCGCGCTGCGCAATCAGATTATATGTATGGAGTAGGTGAGACCCTCAAACGGCTGAAGAATATCAATTAAGGAGATAGTAACCGAGGCCGAATTCTCTCACATATGTAACGAATGGTTTCGGGATACACGAGCCTGAATTTATCACCCTATGGGGCTGTTATTTTCAAACATGTACAATAATATATCTGTACGTTGTACGGAGATAATACCGATGTCGTCTTGTTATGGAGCCAACTCCCGAGGTTCCGTGGAAGCTTTCTGCGCCCGAGCTCTACGAATGACAATACATAATCCGTAGCCCAGCCCAAGAGAAAATATAAAGTCGAAGTCTAAGGTTGAATTAGTCACAATACTGTGCATATTCTGCTTCACAATTCATCATGTCGTTACGATCAGGGCCCTTGAATCATGAGAATTTCTATATCTCTTTCCCGCATGAGCGGATTGTCCAGGTCACAATCAATAGACCGGACAAGCTAAATTGCATCGACAAGAAGACTAGTCGAGAGATTGCCAAGATCTGGGAGCAGTTCGATGAAGATGAAAGCTTATGGGTCGCCATCATCACCGGTGTTGGGAGAGCCTTCTGCACAGGCGCAGATCTAGGAGGTGGGTTTCTTCTTTCTATCACCTGAACTATCGACTGACGGAATCGAGCAGAGTGGAACGCAATGAACAAGGCAGGCGTCGTCAATGACATGTCCGCTCCTGGCCTGGCCGGATTGCCTCGCCGGACCGGCAAGAAACCGATCATCGCCGCAGTGAACGGCCTCTGCATGGGCGGAGGGTTCGAGATGGTGGCGAATTGCGATCTTATCTTAGCCTCATCATCGGCCATTTTCTCCCTTCCCGAAGTGAAGCGAGGCATCGTGCCAGTAGCCGGATGTTTACCGCGATTGACCCGCACTATTGGCCTACAACGCACCATGGATCTCGTGCTTACTGGCAGGAACGTGAGCGCCACCACGCTACATGACTGGGGTCTTATCAGTCAAGTGGTGGAGCCACCAGCCGACGTTGTCCGAGCAGCAATTGAAGTTGCTGAGGTCATGTGCAAGAATAGCCCTGATTCCCTCATTGTTGGCCGTCTAGGTGTTCGAATGAGCTGGGAAGCTGGCAGCGTGGAGGATACTGTAACAGATCTCGCGGATCACTGGTATCCTCGGTTGGTTGGGGGTCCTAACTTTGCCGAAGGCATCCAGGCTTTTGTGGAGAAACGATCACCAAGCTGGAAGAATTCAAAACTGTGAGAGGAAAAAAGTCCACCCACACTACACCGTAATCAGATTTGGTGGCGCAACCATTTTCCACAGTCCGATGGCGGTGCCATGGTTGATAGTGGAGTGTGTACTTATCTGATTTAACTGTAACGCGACGTATTTAATTAATTTCTTTTTTTTGGAATGTTTGGGTCAAAATAAACTGCACGTGGTAAGCACCTTAAACCAGAGGAAGAGGGATGTATGCATTGAAGAAGATATGTAGGAAATAACTAAAGATATTTTCATAGATCTGCTATTAATTCCAAGAGTCTTGGAAATCGTGGAAATCTCATGCGTGTTTCATCGAACTCCGTTTAATACCATCTCACTGTATTAAATACCGCTAGTACCTAGTTAGTACGGAGTACATATATTGTTCTCCGTACTATGTACCCACTGATACCTTCTACATTGTATGATGAGTACATATGACCGGGTGAATCCGCACGGATCTCGCGTCTTTAGTAAGTAGCTTTTAGTGCTGACCCATGACGCCCCAAACACATTGACCCATTATTGTCATTCCTTATTAATATAGGATTTTTTTCTTATATCTTTTTCCGGCTGTCGGCGTGACAATTCCATTCTGCATGCCAAGCAATGCCAAGGTATGGATTACCGCAACAGGAAGCTTCCGCGAGGTACTTGAGCTTCAAGCAGTTACATCCCCGGTTAACATTGCCCTCGCTTCGTCTCTCCGGTATGAGATTCATCATTCATGCAATCTTATTAGCTTCTACCTTTGGAAAGTCCCATCATGGCTGACGCCGTCAGTGGGGTGACTAGACATGGCCTGCATACGACCATACGCAAAGAAGCCCTAGGGAGGAGAGGAGGGAAAAAATACAGTTTGTTCGATTATTACTCCGTAGCGAATGAACGCTAAGACATCGCCAAGACATTTCCTACTGGTTCATTTCACACGGCGTGCATTAGCCTTCCAAGATTGTACCAATCCGCCGAGTTCGGTATTTTTTTTTAAGCGCTGGATCTGGAGCACCAATAACCAGGGATTATATTTGCTATAAGGGCAAGGATTCCCATGCGCTTTTGGGTTCCTCCAACCTACTTTTTATATTTCCTGATCTCCAGATCAACATGGGTGTTTCCAGGTTCCGATCTGCCTTCCGGCGATCATCGACCCAGGACTCTGTTACTCAAATCCCTGTGACCACTGATGGCGATGAAAAGAGCAAAATCCCTACCGACCCCGTTGCTGTACCCAACAGCGCGGACCCCGAAGTTCCCACTCAAGATGCACAGCAAGGTGTCAGGGATGTCGAGGCTGTGACTTTGAGTTGGACGAGGACCATGCTGATTGCAGTCTTTGCAAAGTAAGCTTTTGTTCCCTCGCCTCGACGGGCGATCGACCCGTAAAAACCAGCTTATTTACTAACGTGAATCTTCAATAGCATCTGGTTCTTGTACTTCGTCAATGCTATGCAATCCTCGATTAACTACAGTTTGCTCAGCTATGTCACCAGTGACTTTGAGAGTCATTCCCTCCTGAATGTCATCTACATTGTTGCAGACGCCATGACAGCCTCAGTGTACATCCCCACTGCCAAGATCATGGACGTTTGGGGCCGTGCAGAGGGTTTCCTGGTCATGACCGTTTTTGCTACGCTTGGTCTAATTCTCATGGCTGTATGCCACAACCTTCCCACATTCTGCGCGGCCTACGTCTTCTACAGCATTGGATTCGGAGGTATGACATACTGTGTCGATGTCATCACCGCCGACATTTCCAAGCTCAAGAATCGAGGTTTGGCTTACGCTTTCACCTCCTCGCCATACATCATCACAGCCTTCGCTGGTCCCAAGGCCGCCGAGGGCTTCTACGAAGACATTAGCTGGCGATGGGCCTTTGGTGCATTCTCCATCATCTTCCCTATTGTTGCCTCCCCTCTTTACTTCATCTTGAAGAGCAACCTCAAGAAGGCCCAGAAGAACGGTCTTCTAGTCCCGGAGCCTAGCGGCCGGAATTGGTGGCAAAGCATTTGGCACTATACCAAAGAGTTCGATTGTGAGTGAAGAGCTTTTCAAAGCATTGGAAAATTGGGAATACTGACTTGAATAGTGCTTGGTGTTTTGGTGTTCTCTACCGGCCTTACAATCTTCCTCCTTCCGTTCAGCATTGCAACGTACGCCCCTAAGGGCTGGGCATCAGGCTACATCATTGCTATGATCGTCATCGGATTTGTTATGCTTGGCCTCTTCCTTGTTTGGGAGTTCCGCTTTGCTCCGACACCAATGTTCAACTTCAGACTGTTGACCGATCGAACCATCATTGGTGCATGCTTGCTCGACGCGACATACCAGCTCTCTTACTACTGCTGGAACAACTACTATACATCCTTTTTGCAGGTAGTCAACGATCTCACCATCTCCGAGGCCGGTTATGTTAGCAACACTTTCGACGTTGTCTCCGGCTTCCTCTTGCTTGGAGTCGGTTTCATTATTCGCAAGACTGGTCGCTTTAAGTGGACTCTCTACATTGGTGTCCCGCTTTACATCTTCGCCCAGGGATTGATGATCTATTTCCGCCAGCCCGACCAATCTGTCGGTTATCTTGTGATGTGTCAGATTTTCATCTCCATTGGTGGATCTGTCTTCATCATTGTCGAGCAGCTTGCCATCTTAGCTGCCGCCGATCACCAGCACGTCGCAACTGTCCTCGCCCTTCTGAACGTCGTCGGTACCGTGGGTGATGCTGCCGGTTCTACCATTTGTGCCGCAATCTGGACCAACACCTTCTACAAAGCCCTTGAGGCGAGGCTTCCTGCCTCTGCGATAGGAGACATCGATTTGATCTACGAGGATATTACCCAGCAGCTGTCCTATCCCGTCGGAACCCCCGCGAGAAGGGCTATTCAATCAGCCTATGCCTATTCTCAGACACGAATGCTTGCTGTTGGCACCGGTCTCATGGGTCTTTGCATCATCTGGGCCATCATGATCCGCGACATTGACCTCAAGAAGGTTGCTCAGGTCAAGGGTGTCGTCTTCTAAGGTGTTTCCCTTCTTCTTTGGAGATAATTTTCGACAATGATAATGTTGATGATCCATTTCCCATTATATCCAAACCACGACTAGCTGCTCCCAGGCAGTTATCAACCTTCGCTTTTTGTACCTTACTATTTAATCATATCAACATGACGGTCTGAATGCAGAGTGTTATGACTATCCGAAACAACGTTTCTATTCTTGTAAATACTTGGCAATGATATTGCCCCGAGTTTTCCGCGACCTGTAGCTCGCTTGGTGTTTGTTTCCGTTTACCGGGAGAGCCGCGGTATGGTATGATATGGTTTGGTATGTAATAAAATAAAATTGGCACTTTAAATAAGTTATGCAAATATACCGCTAGTAAGTATGTAAGTAATCTATGTATCAAAGTATGAAACAAAAACTGTCTGCATGTGCTTTCAAGTGAATCTTGTGAAATTCGAGCAATACACAACCATAATTATGTTGAGTAGCAGCTTGCAGAGCCCGGTGTCATCTGACAGATCCACGTATGACTAAAGTCATCCATTCCCGAGGTCCATGGTGGAACCAGGGAATATGTAAAAAGATCTGATAAGTTTCTTTTCCAACGCCCTTGCCGTTTTTGTACGGCACTACCCCTTTCCTTTCGGCTCAAACCACCCTGCTGAGACGTGGCTGAGGACCTCGAAAGTTACCTATCATTTCAATTAGCGAAGTAATAATAGCAGCTGGGATTAGATTGATATCTTGGGAACATTTCTCTTACAACATGCGGAGTACAAGCCGAAGTTCTACCACGTTGCTAAGTGGGTATGGCCGCGTTCTGAGGCGCAGCCGGATGTTCGGTTACAATCTTCCTGGAAATATTCCGAATGGTATGGAATCTGATGATTTTATCTGATCATCTGATTAGATTGGGCTACTGGTTCGGGTTCTCTTGGCACTTTTATCTGATCCCAAGGCGTTCGGTAGGCACGACCGCCAAGAAGCAGCCCATGGTCTTCTGTGGATGTCCGGGTTCGGCGGACTTCATCTCGCACTATTTCCCTCCCATTACGTACTTCAAAAGTAGCAACCTAGTGGCGTGGCCTTGACTGCTTGACAGAAAACCTTGCCAAATGACTCACGGCTTGAATCCCAAAGGTGTGACATGAGGTGCAAGTGTGACCAAGACTTGAGGGCTTCGAGGTCACGTGTGACAGCCACATGGTACATCATCTAGAGAGAGAAAGACTGCATACCCAACGCAGGTTGGCAAACAAGTCCATTAAACCTCCACTTCTTCCCATATCTTGTGTCCTTTCTCCCGTTTTGGGATTTTCCAGAATGGCCCTGTTGGAAGGTCAGATCACATGACCTTCATTGTTCGCTCCTGCTACATAGTCTTCTACAAGCCTTAGATAGTTCTTTCTCCACGCAGCTGAGTTTTTCAGTAATGATCAAGATGCGCTCCTCCACGCCATGAACCTTTCCCCAGCTGAGACAGTTATCATATAATTATTACATGACACCTTATGCAAGAAGCCTCTATAGTATATTGCATGGATGCAGCATTAACTACCTAAATTTATTCCCTTCTTACTCGGAAAACCCCACCGATGGCCACATCAATTCATTTGTGGAATATGAAAGTTTGATCCGCGAGATGTAGGATTTGTAAAGTTAGATGGGCCTACTTAAGTCTGACATTTCTCTGCCTAGCCTTCACGATCTACCTATACTGATTGGAATCAACTTGTTTCGAGCAAAGTCGACCGTGCCTAGCCTCAGCGATGCCAACCTGTCAGGATTTTAGAGCCTAAAGACAACATCGGGTGGTATACAAAGACCTATCTGTATTCGAGATTGAAGCAGCTCGATGCTAAAGAACAAGATCCAGGAGGGAAAAATAAGCACTATCCGCTCCTCTTGTCCTTCTCCCTTCTCAACCCGAAATCACCACGTACGACTCATTTATAACGCCGTGAAGGAAACCTGCCTCGGCATCAGATCACAAATTTGTTCATCGCAATCAACAAGTAGGATCCTTTCAACAAGCATCCTATCAAAGCAAGTTCTCCTCTACTACCAACAAGGGGATCGCTTTCAGCCGGCTGACTGATCGCCCATTTTCCAGAAATTACAACAATGACCTAGCTCAGAGTTACTGAGTTTGTGACTCCCGCGTTAGGATTCGCACATTCCGTCTCGAAATCCGCAATGGACATCACCCTACAGTCTGGGGAATAGAGACATACGAATCAATCAACGAATCTCCGACTACAAAGCCAGATGGCCGGGGACATTTTCTATGTTGAAATTAGTATAAGGGGAAACCATGACAGTTGATGGAATCCGAGATCTTTCAGTCCTCCCAACTGTTTGACGAGACGCTCGTCCCGCTGCCAACCTGTTGGATACCCGGAAGGCAGTCACCCATATGGGTCCAGATCAGGAGATAGCTCCGCTCTCCTCCTCTTCTCTCTCTTCTGCTCCCGTGCACTTTATTTTGGTCGAATCGATACTGGTTGTTCTCCTCATCGCAGATACAATGTAGATCGATCGCCATTACAACCCTATATACTATGAGGCGTGGTCAAACGTCTGGGCCCTAGGTGACGGCGATGGAAAGGACTGCGAGACCCAATATAAACAGCGCAGCGGCGACCCCCGCTAGAGAATGAATGAGCAGTCTTCATTTCCTAGTGTCGGGGACCCTTGTAGTGGTGGTTGTCTTAGCCTTGGCTTGGGTCTGCGTGGTGAGACGGTAGGAAAGTGCAGTTGGGGTATCGGGGATGAATTTGATCTCACAGATCCTGCTGCCCCTGATCTGTAAGTGGGGTGGGTAGTAAAAAGGACAAAGGTGAAAGTCAGTTTAGTCAAATTTTGAGTTTGAAGTGGAATCAATCGCAAATCGGAAGTGAAATTCAACCGTAAATAGTAGACCATGTGTGTTAAAAAGGTATAGAGTAGGGTTGGGAAAGATAGGGCAGCTCAGTGACAAAAACATGGCCGTTCATGTTCAAGTATCCAGTGTCATTCATAATATTCTTCCATTTTGGTATCTATGTCATAAAACAAAAAGGAACGTGTCCTTTCTATACATGTAGCATCTCTATCGACCATTTCTCGTACGAAAAAAGCTTACTGCTTATCGGGGAAGCCGAAGTCGACACCGAAGGGAGGGTAGACAAAGCGCTGGAGCTTGCCCTCAGCCTGGAGACCATCACTGTACTTGCGAAGGGTAGCCAGGTCCTCAGCGTCCAAGAAGATCAAGTCGGCACGATTAGCCTCAATGCGGGCAGGGGTGACGGACTTGGCCAGGACTGAGGAGCCACGGGCGACTAGGGAGAAATCAGTTAGTACGCTATATTCGGTCCAGTGGGTAAAGGCTAGAGATACTTACTGTGCCAGCTGAGCAAAACAGTAGCCGGAGTAACTCCGCGCTTGTGGGCGACGGCCATGATGGGCTCAGCGCTGAATAGCGGGCTGCCGGTACTGCCAAGTGGGCTGTAAGCGGTGATGTGGATGCCAGTCTTGTTGCAGAAGTCGACAATCTCCTGCTGTGGGAGCAAGGGGTGGTTCTCGATCTGGTTGACAGCGGGAACAATAGTGGCCTGGGCCAGGAGTTCCTCAAGGAACTTGAGACTATAGTTTGAGACACCGATGGCCCTGGCCTTGCCAGTGCCGATGAGCTTCTCCATATCCTTGTATGTAGTCACATGGGAGTGGCTGTGGATAATGTCCCGTGAGCCATCAGCGAGCTTGGGGAAGATGTTGTGGTTTCCTGTGATGGAAGTCAGCGCCGCGAATCTGCATATTTGAAGAAATTCAACTCACCCTTGGGGTTCATTGCCAGAGGCCAGTGCATCAGATAGAGGTCGACATAGTCAAGTCCGAGGTCTTTCAGACTCTGCTCAAGACCCTCCTCAACACGAGCGTGGAAAGAGCACCACAGCTTAGTGGTCACGAAGAGATCCTCGCGCTTGACAAAGCCGGCGTCAATGGCCTCTTTGATGCCCTGGCCGACTTCGTTTTCGTTGCCGTAGCAAAGCGCGGCATCAATGTGACGGTAGCCGACCTTGATGGCGTGGAATACGGCGCGCGCAACCTCGCCGGGCTGGGATTGCCATGTTCCCAGGCCGAGTGCCGGGATCTCGGCTCCAGTATTGAGCTTGAAACGGGTATCGCAGGCAGCCATTGTGGATTTATCGGGGTATCAAGAGAGAAGGAAGATTATTTACACAGAATAAGGGAATATGAACAAATTGAAGTAGAAATGGTCAAGAAAAGCTCTGGGGAAAGGCGGGGGTTTACAAAGGATAACAACCCCACACGGCTATCGGGGTTATTCCGTTCCTCCAAGGTCGGCCTTTTTTCCATCAATCACCTCGACCATCTTTTGGGATCTTCGATGTGCTTGGAATTTTCTACTGGGAGAGTTCTATATTTTTTCGATCGACCTCGAGGAGAATGATTTTCCCCACACAATAACCGTCAGACCAGGATCCAGGAGAACAAGTTAGCAGATCTACGGAAACCGTCTTCCAGTTCGACAGATTCCTCTCCGCTTGACATCACAGCCACTCCACATGGTTGGCCTGTGGTCGTGGGGTAATTGTGGCTGCCAATCATCGTCGCCCTTTTGGAGAGCAACCCAGATCTCCATCGGCGCGGAAGCCAGAATCCGTGATGTTTGATTTTTCGTCCTACGTGCGAGTACATCGATGTCATGGCAAATCAGGCAAATGAGACAAATGGATATGGGGAGAGCCCTCACACCACTGCTGATATCGGAAATCTACACGCGATATTTTGCACATCGGATTTTCCTGGCCTTAACCCTATATATACACTGGATCTCCTAGTGTCTATCCTTCTTTTAACCCCAGACTTTCCTGATTGTTAATTGCAATTCATTTGGCAATCTGAAACTTCTTATATATTCTACCAAGAAACACTACTTCATCCAACACAGTCGAAATGGCACCTGTCGCCATCTCCCCACAGGCCTCCCCTGTCTTCAAGAAGCGGGATGGCCACGCACTGGAAGAGCTCTCGGACGCTATCGACGAGATCAACGTTCTCAAGGACATGAAGAAGCGTGAGGCTGAAAAGAAAGTGGCCGAAGAGAAGGGTCTATATGACGAGTCCGAGTTCGACAAGGAGAAGGACAAGACCAACTTCCGCCAGTACGAGGATGCCAGCGACCGAGTCAAGAACTTCTACAAAGAGCAGCACACCAAGCAGACCGTCGCCTACAACCTGAAAGCCCGCCACGACTTCCACAGCAAGACTCGTGCCGAGATGACCGTCTGGGAAGCCATGGAGAAGCTTAACACCCTGATCGATGAGTCCGACCCCGACACCAGCCTTTCCCAGATCGACCACCTCCTGCAGTCTGCTGAGGCCATTCGCCGCGACGGCAAGCCCCGCTGGATGCAGCTGACCGGTCTGATTCACGACCTGGGCAAGCTCCTCTTCTTCTTCGATGCCGAAGGCCAATGGGACGTTGTCGGCGATACCTTCCCCGTCGGCTGTGGCTTCGACGATAAAATCGTCTACGGCCGCGACTCGTTCCGCGATAACGAGGACTTCGGCCACAAGATCTACGATACCAAGTTTGGTATCTACACACCCGGCTGCGGCCTCGACAATGTCATGCTGTCCTGGGGCCACGATGAGTACCTCTACCATCTCGCTAAGGAGCAGTCGACCCTTCCCGATGAGGCACTCGCTATGATCCGCTATCACTCTTTCTATCCCTGGCACAGCGCCGGTGCGTACCACGAGTTGATGAATGAGCACGACCGTGATATGCTCCGTGCTGTCAAGGCTTTCAACCCTTATGACTTGTACAGCAAGAGTGATGGAATTCCCAGTGTTGAGGAGTTGAAGGTATGTTTTTTCGCTTCTACTGATGATCTGTGAATTCGAGGCTAACTTGTTTCTTTCTAGCCGTACTACCTGGAACTCATCGATGAGTACTTCCCCACCAAGGTCCTGAAGTGGTAGACGTCTGCGACTTGCTCTCCTCGCGTCTTTATTCCACAAATTTTTCATGATTCCCCATTTTTGCACTAGTTCTATGAAAATAGCTACGATACTTGCCATCACATTCAATTAGCGTTAAAAACCATACTTTGTCAATCGTTCCAAGCAATCAAACCCAGAAATTACCTGAATAAATTGATAGAGACGAAATTAATCAACTCTTCAACACTATTTTTCACACTTCAAAGTAGTCAAGCTTCATAGTCTAGCGCTCAGCTTTCTCAACTCTAATAATCTCACATTACACCACATTACACCACATACAACTTACATTCGTCAGGACCTCTTTGAGGTTACGGAGATGTGAAGATATCAAGGATCGCTACTGGTAAAGGACAACTCACTTACTGCAATTACACAATTTCCCTTCGATATTACCATATCTAGAGTTAGAAGAGTCTACTTTGGACCAAAACACAAGATCGCATCGATATGTAAGTCATGTCATCTTCATTTGGAAGGGTATGTATAAGCGTTGAACGTATATAGGGTATATTTTAAAATCCCCAGGGCACATCACAAATTATTTACAGACTAGCCAACTGCGACCGTTTCCCATCCTCATCGAAGTAAATCTTCTTCTCTGTAACCATGGACTCCTGCAGCGCAGCACCAATGCGAACAGCCTTGACAGCATTCTCAAGTTCAAGAGGCAGTGCCGTGTTATCAAGACAGCAAGCAGTGAACTCATTGGCCTCGGTAACAAACGCATACTCGAAGCGATCATAGTAGTTCTGGGGGATCTCCCTCCGGACGCCGGTCTCATCGTAGATATTAACGTGGTTCATTGCAGGCTGGTTGTTAATCGCCAGCTTTCCCTTGGTGCCGATAATCTCAGTGACATCCTCCTGGCCAGCGGCCATCATGCGGGAAGCATAGAAGTAGGCAATACGGCCATCGTAGAACTCGACCAAGCCGACGGCGTTGTCGCGGTCGTTGTGCTTGCGCAAGTCGGGCTCGACGGCTGTGTTGCCAATCGCCGACACTGACTTCACTTTGCAGTCGTTGCCGAAGAACCAAAGTGTGAGGTCAATGTCGTGGATGGAGCAGTCGACGAAGATGCCGCCGGAGAACTCGGCGTATGCGACAAAGAACCCGCTGGGATCGAGCTTGTCGCAGGTCTGACTGCGGAGTACGGATGCAGTGCCGATTGCTCCTGCCTGCATCTTCTGGTACGCGTCGCGGTAGGACTTGTCGAAGCGTCGGGAGAAGCCGCACATCACCTTGAGCTCTGGCTTCTTGGCTGCTGCGTCGACGACGGTTTGAGACTGTATAAGAGGCGGGTTGTTAGTACTTGGTTTCAATGGTTGATTCTTTGTATTTGGTAGACTCATTGAGGTTGAGCTGGATTCAAAATACAACTGACTTACCACTTCGGGACTTGTGGAGATAGGCTTCTCGCAAAGCGTGTGCTTGCCTGCTTCAATTGCCTTGATTGCTTGCTCGGCATGCACAGCAGTTGCCGATGCGACCACCACGGCAACCAGACCTTCATGCTTGAGCATGTCGTCGTAGTTCTGGTACAGGGTTACGCCAAAGGGCTCGAGGTGGATTTTGGCCCATTCGAGTTCGACGGGGTCGGGGGAGCTGGCAGCCACAAGCTCAGCTCGGGGAGTACGCTCCAGGAAGTTCAGGGCATGGCGCTTGCCCATACGGCCTAGACCGGCACAGCCGATCTTCAATCTTTGGGTAGCCATTGTATATAAAATGTAAAGGTCAAAGAAAGGATATCAAGAAGAAATAAAATCAATAGCTAATAGAGAGGGAATTCTACAACTGGGCGACTTCAAGTTATAAGGCCGAAACTAAATGCGGAGGTCAGTCTCCGACAACTCCGCAAAACGTGGGGTCGGAAAGTGAATTCCACCACCGACGAAGTCCTAAAAAAGGACCTCGGGACATAAAAAAAAAGGCTATCAACTCGTGAATTCACTGCCGTCGGCTTTCTTCGATTCCCGTCGCAATCTTCGCTTCGCAATATCCACTGGATCCGCAAATCCATCACCTCTCAGCCAGGTCAAAGCCTTGCGTAGTCCCCCACCCTGCACGGCTTCAGGGTTCCCCTCAAGGATTGACCCCATAAGCGCCCAGGACAGAACAAACAACAATAGTTCCCCGCCCTTGCGGCCCTTCCATAGTCCACGCTTGACCCCGGTCTTGTACGCCGAATCAACAGCGACCCGGAAGAACCAGAGGAATGTGCTGCGACTGTTTCCCAGGAACAAGAATGGCAGACCGCCCAGTGCCCCACTAAGGAAGAATCGCTTGGTAGGAAGCGTTGTGCGGGGCAAGTTGTGGTTCAGGAGACAGACACTACCCCAGGCTGAGCCAATTGCAGCAGAGATAACCGCTGTCATGGTGATAATACGCTTCGAAATAGTATTCACTGACGAAATAGGCTGAAGCAGAATACTCTTGAATTTGGGGATTGAAAGCGCCAGAGTGATGGTCGTTAAGAATCGCGCAAGCGGCGGCACGGAGAGGAGAATGTGGTGCAAGAACGCCGTGCTACAGTTCGGGAGCTTAGGGTGCAAGAGAGCGCATGATAGACTTGTGATTGCAGGGTGTGCTGGTCCAGTGATTGGAGAGATGGAAGCTACTGATGACGGCAAGGTGTTGAGATCACCAGGGTGTAGAATTGGAGAAACGAATGCCCTGTGTCATATTAGCGACTATACTCCTGAACACAATCAACTTCAAACATACGGCCAGCGGAGATCAGCAATGGAGGCAAGAGAGTTCACAATCTCTTCTTTCTCGGGCCAGGCGATGTTGACCGGAAGCGACTCCGGTCGGCCTTGAATGTAGCTCGGCGAGAGCCTAAAAATGACTTTTCCAAACCACTATGGCATCATTTTAGCGACCGTGACTCAAGTAAAGGAATTCCGACCACAAACATTAGGCGTAGTCTCACGATCAAACACGAAAGCATGGAAGAGCTGGGCAAACGAGATCGGCATCAACAGCCAGCTGCCGAACCACCACGGGCGCCTATCCAGCCAGCCTTTCGAGTCCAGGACATTGAACAAGAACTCCAAGCTTCTGGTGCCTGTGTAAATCGCCGCAGTCAATCGGAGCTGGTCCTGCGGACAGATGCCTAGCGCGAAACCAGCCAGACTTGCGCCGATCGCTGGCGCAAAGCGCGAGGTCAGCGCCTGCGAGACATACGGGTTGCGCTCTCTGAATGGCTTTGCATCGTCGGTGCGGAGGTTCGCTCGCAATCGGACGAGGAAGCGGTAGAGGAGGCGATGGATAAGAAGGAGAAGAGAGAGAGAGATGGAGAGACGGAATTTGGGAGATCGGAAGAGGGGCGTTCGGGTCTTTTTCCTGTTGGTTGGAGCGACTGTTAGTGCATGCATGTTCCTAAAAGAGGCATCTGCGTAGATTAAATCGATCTTACTGTGAAGCGCCTTGGAACCGAGTAATCAACAGATCCGCCAACTTCAACGCGATTCCGGAGCCGACAAAGACTCGCAGCGATGAGCGAATAGCGGCTTCACTGTGTCGATTCTTTGGGCGAGCGATGACATCGTAGCGAGATGGAGATGGGAGCTTGTTTTGGATGGTAGGGGCGCGTCTGACCACTGATTCATGGAGGAATCGGTATTCTTTGGCGCTGAGACATACGCGGAGGACGTCGCGTAAGGCGCGAGGTGGAAGGTCCAGCGCATCCCCTGGGACTGGAGGGTTGTCCGCAGACATGTTGTTGTTGATGCCAAGTTAGAGCATCATCAGGTGAAGTCCGGGGCTGAGAAGGTCGAGTGGTCCAATGCGGAGAAGCCGACCTCGGCAATTCTTACCCGTTGGTCTTGCCATGACATTTCAGTATTCTGTCGATATCACGGGTTGTAGCCTTACTCACCATGGAAGCTATTGGGTATCTTGGGGATTTCAGAGGCCCTGACTACCCAGTCACATTTTGTTTGTTTCTCTCGTGTCATCTACCGCGAGAATGGCTTTTCCGCATACAGTATCTTTCCGACGGGGAGGTGAAGAGCGAATTTTTATAACAACACGACTTTCATTCCCACAGACACTATTTGAATGGACGGTATAACGAGAGTATCGGGAAAGCGAAGCCACAGGACGATATGAAGGTCCTACAGGACCTGCACTTCTGGCTAGGAGACATGGCTGACGCATCTCAGCTTTGCCTCGAGCGGATCCTTGAGGCCAGAATCATCATGAAGCTTTTATGTTTCTCATCCTTGTTGCTATAACACTAAGGCTAACAAGATACTATATTCCTTTTTCTAGGATGAATCTGTCCGATACGCTATATCCCACCATACATGTTATGTTGATGCGAAATTACAGTATAACTGAGGTCCGGCTCAACACTTAGATGCCACCCTGAATTGAGAACCGGCATAAAGGCATTTTTCACCTTTGCCCAAGAGATCTGCCTCGATATCCATGAGCCGGTTGTACTTAGCAACTCTCTCACCCCGGCAGGGGGCCCCAGATTTCAGATGGCCCGTCCTTAAGCCCACGACCAAATCTGCAATGAAATCATCGGTCGTCTCACCAGATCGGTGAGACACAAAAACACTCCAGTCAAAGCTGTAGGCCAAGTTCGCCCTATGAATAATTAGAACTTTATCTCTGGGGGAATTGTAGGGGAAACCTACGCCTCAATTGCTTCGGAGATGGTGCCTATTTGGTTGATTTTGAGCAGCATCGAATTGCACGCCCTCTTTTCGTTGGCCTCCTGCACATATTTCGTATTGGTAACCAGCAAATCATCCCCAACCAGTTCAACTGGACATTCCTTGTTGAATTCGGTCCAACTGTCCCAATCGGTTTCGGCGAACGGATCTTCAAGTAAAACGATCGGATAATTTTGCAACAATGAGCGATACAGGTCTGTAAGCTGTTTTGAGCTTTGCAAGTTCGGTTTGTCGTCTTTGAACCCAATATCGTAGTTCCCATCCTTGAAGAATTCGCTTGATGCAGGATCAATGGCGAATTTTATTCTGCCGCTATATCCAGCAAGAGAGACGGCTTGAACCAAGAGGTCTAGTGCCTCATGAGGCTGGGAGATCGGTGGTGCAAACCCTCCTTCGTCTCCAATACCGGTAGCTTGAGAGTATCAGTAATGGCTGCGTAGGATCCATAGTGAAAGGCGCACTAACCAGATGTTCCATACTTCTCGACGATGACCTTCTTCAACTTCTGGTAAACCTCGCAGCCCATTTGTACTGCTTCCGTGAAAGATGATGCTCCAACAGGAGCAATCATAGTCTCTTGAAAAGCCATCTTGTTGCCCGAATGCACACCTCCATTTAGGACATTGAAGAACGGCACTGGCATGACGAATGGTTTTTTCGCTCCAGACTCACGCCGAAGGAACTCGTACAATGGAATCCCCTGATATATATCAGCCATCATGTCGAATCGTCAACCTTAATTATAGCTTACAGCATGGGCTGCACCCGCTCTGGCACATGCCATGCTGGCGCCCAAAATGGCATTCGCGCCGAGCTTCGACTTATTTTTCGTACCGTCCAGATGCTTAAGAAGGCAATCAATCATCCTCTGGTCTGTATCAACCTTGAGCCCGCTCTGTACTAGAGCGGGACCAATGACCAGTCGGATGTTCGAAACAGCTTTCTGGACGCCCTGGCCGCCATATGCAGAATTATCCCCATCTCGCAGCTCAATGGCTTCATTCGCACCTGTAGATGCACCAGACGGAACGATGGCTCGAAAGGTACCTGCATCGGTGTAAGAACCGAGTTTAGCTATTGTTGGTGCTCTCTTACCTCTGTCCGTAGTGAGATCAACTTGAACAGTTGGGTGTCCCCGCGAATCCAAGCGCTGGGCAGCTTGGACCGACCTGATCATCGTGAATTCGAAATGATGTAGCGTGGTGAGTTGATGGGTTCAAAGCTTAGATGACCATCGCATGAGAATGTTTTGTTCTTGCTATTCATCATCCAGGTACAGTAAATTTCACAATGGCAAGGGGTGACGTAGAGTAACTATAAATTAACTGTGACAGGTGATGATGTCAAGCGGATGGCGGTTGATTCTCATAGCCAGATCTATAGACCAACACTTTTCTTTATTGTACGCTTCTGACTCCAATTTACTCTCGGGCAATCTGAGCCTATCGCGATGGCTCATTGTAAAATAACTTGGTAAGCAGGATATGGTTGTGATTATTGTAGTTACTAGACAGATCCATAGTATATATACTGTTCGAGCGGAAAGTTTTGCCGCGCCTTTCGAATCCATTACGACTTCAAGATGTTCATTTGAAGCAAGCTGCATTGCAGTTTTGTCCAAATTCTTCGCAGGATTGAGGTCTACTGTTTTCTGGAAGTTGTCCCCAAAGATCAGCTTTATAATACATAAATTTCCGAAACGAGCTGTCGCTATCCGGGGTATCTCCTTCTTGTTTGTTCCGATGGTTTATATCAAATCGATTACCCAACTGCAGTAAGCTCACCACAAAGCAGATAATCTCCTTCGGTCCTTCTACTACACAACTCGGATAGAGCAACTCGAACACCGCATCGGTATCCTATCGCGCTTAGCGAAAGGAGTGTATGCCCATAATCAAGTACGATATGCTTGAACAGAATCTGTGCTCAGGTCAGGGGTAACTAGATAAATGCATACCTAAATACTCCGTGCCTATGGAGTCCCCCTAGGCATCTTTATTTATGTATACTAATACATTGTTGTTTCACTGCATATCTAGATATGGCACCAATCAAACAAAAGACCGCATGCCAAATTAAAGAGTGGATTTTTGTCTCAGCGCCACAAAATCTCTCGCGATAAGTCTTCATGCACGGAGTATTTGGCTAGCCCTAAGGAGTACATCGAGAAATTCCTCAAATCAAGTGCTTGGCGTGAAACACAAGCTTGACGGAACTCCACATGGCTTCCCAGGTATCAATTCCATATCGCGATTGGACAATAAATATTGCAGCCCAGACTGAAACCCCATGTCTCATTCCGTTTACCCGAAAATATTCCGGGAATTAATTATTCCAGCAATGATTGTTTTCAGCGGGGCCGTACGTAGTAGATTCGGTGGAGCTAAATGTTTCGGAGAGTTGTCGTAGCCCTAATAGATGAATACAACGGAGCACCTAACAATTACCATGCATCCATGGATCTCATGGCTCTCCAATGAGTGGTCCGGCTGGAAACAGGGGTCAACACCATGACAGATGGTGATGTTCCCGTTTCATAAGGATACTAGCGCAGGGGCTATAAGGAGGATACTGTGCAGGCCAAGCATTTAAATATCAAAGCCAAGCTCGATGGAATAGCTTATTCAAACCCATCCATTCATTCTTACTTCATTTCATTCTTCATTCTATTCGGCTAGTTCCGAACATTTACACTCTCTTTACTTGTCTGTTGATCGGACATTTACTTCAAAATGCGTACATCTTTCGTTTCCATGCTGGCCCTCGGCGCCGCCGTTGTGTCTGCTGCCCCAGCTCCTACTAGTGTTTCCGAACTGGTTGAGCGCTCGTCCTCGACTTGCACCTTTACCTCAGCCGCCAGCGCCATTGCTAGCAAGAAGGCTTGTTCCACCATTGTGCTGGATAACATCGAAGTCCCTGCTGGCGTGACTCTCGATCTTACCAAGCTGGAGAGTGGTACCAAGGTAGATATTTCTGTTATTCAAGGGTCGATAACCAAAGATCTAATAGCTGCTGTATAGGTCATCTTCAAGGGCGAAACTACCTTCGGATATAAAGAGTGGACGGGTCCCCTTATCAGCATCTCCGGCTCAAAGATTGAAGTCAGTGGACAGTCAGGCCATGTCATCAACGGCGGCGGAGCGAGCTGGTGGGACAGCGAGGGAACCAACGGCGGAAAGACCAAGCCCAAGTTCTTCTACGCCCACTCCCTGGACGACTCGTCCATCACCGGCCTGAACGTCAAGAACACCCCCGTCCAGGCTTTCAGTGTGCAGTCCGATAACCTGGTCCTCGACCAGATCACCATCGACAACTCGGACGGTGATACTGAGGGCGGCCACAACACCGATGCCTTCGATGTTGGCTCGAGCACCTATATCACCATCAGCAACGCCAATGTCAAGAACCAGGATGACTGCTTGGCTATCAACTCTGGCGAGGTAAGCAGTCAAAGGATACTTCTACCATAAAAAAACAAATGAAACTAACCTGGTTGTCCGCCAGAACATCGTATTCACCGGCGGCTACTGCTCCGGCGGTCACGGTCTCTCCATTGGCTCCGTTGGCTTGCGCTCCGACAACACTGTGAAGAACGTGACCATCTCCGACTCTACCGTGACCAACTCCGCCAACGGTGTGCGCGTCAAGACCGTCTACAAGGCCACTGGTGCAGTCTCTGGCGTGACCTTCTCCAACATCAAGCTGTCCGAGATCTCTAGCTATGGTATTGTCATCGAGCAGGATTACGAGAACGGCAGCCCTACCGGTACCCCCACTACTGGTGTCCCCATTACCGACCTGACTGTCGAGAAGGTTACCGGCACTGTCAAGAGCAGCGCTACTGACGTCTACATTCTTTGCGGTAGCGGTAGCTGCTCTGACTGGACCTGGTCTGGAAATTCCGTCACTGGTGGTAAGACTAGCAGTAAGTGCGAGAATGTGCCTTCTGGTGCTTCTTGCTAGATTGCTAGGGATCAAACAGTGATCACCAGGGCATCAATCAGACGAGAGTGGGCTATTTTCAAGGCAAATTTGACTGGGTGGGCTAGAAGACGAGGTTAAATATGCTACTAGTCCCTTTGGACGTCATTGTACTTAGATAGCCATCTGTAGATGGATTCAATTGAATGGTTTTCAGCCTACCTAATAGTAGCTGAGAATGACTATACTGTAAAACACCTTAAATTAGCAAAATTCACTCGTAGATTCAATTTCTTATGCGTCTATTAATTTCTATCTATGTTGTACATATTTTGTCGCAACTAACGCCAAGCTGCACGTTCGGGAGGTGCATGGTGATGACGCAACGAGTTCCTTTCCCCAATCAGCCAACCCTCAAGCTTCTTCTCTTACACATACAAAGCCACACCCAAATCATACTCAGAATGCATGTTCTTCTACTCGGCGGTCATGGCAAAGTAGCCCTTCACCTTACTCCACTCCTCCTCAACCGGGGCTGGAGCGTAACCAGCGTCATCCGCAACCCTGCGCACGAAAGCGAGATTCTAGAGCTGGGCCAAGGCCACAAGGGCAACCTCAAGGTGTTACTATCGAGTCTAGAGGATGTCAAGAGTTCCTCCGACGCTCAAAAAATCATCAACACCGTTGTACCGGACTATGTCGTCTGGTCGGCTGGTATGGCAACCCTCACCCCTCACCCCGCACTTATCTCTAAACATCGCAACGCAACGCACATTGCAATGAGCCATCCCCAAATCAAATAAGAACTCGAAACCATATAGACCTCTATAATGCACTATGGAAAATCAACAATTCCCCAAACCACAAACTAACACGCAAACCCAGGCGCCGGCGGAAAAGGCGGTGCAGCACGCACAATCGCGATCGACCAAGAAGCAGCGAAGCACTTCATAACAGCATCATTTGCATCACCAAGTGTAAGCAAACTCCTCCTGGTGTCGTACCTAGGCAGTCGACGCAAGCAGCCGAGCTGGATGCCGGACGATCAATGGGCGGGTATAGTGAAGGTCCAGACGGAAGTGCTGCCGACGTACGCGAAAGCCAAGCTAGAAGCCGACGAGTACATGACAGCGCTGGCTGCACAGCGGAAGCGCGAGCCTGGACCGGCGCGGCCTTTCCAGGCTATCAATCTGCGGCCTGGGATTCTGACTGATCAGCCTGCGACGCGGAAAGTCGAGCTGGGGATCACGCCTAAGGGTGACGGAAGTGTTACTCGGGAGGACGTGGCGATTGTGGCGGATCTTTTGCTTGCTAGGGCTGATACGGAGGGATGGATTGATCTTGTTAATGGGGATGAGGGGGTTGAAGAGGCTGTTGAGAGGGTTGCAAGGGAGAAGGTTGATGCTGTTGTTGGGGAGGATGTTGAGGGTATGGTCAAGAGGTTTTTTCCTTAAGGAACAATTTCCGGGCTTGAATCTCTAGGTTTCTATACTAGAAAAGGCCTGGGATTGACAGGATACTCTACTCTTCGGATCTTCCATATATCATTCAATTATGAAAACGAACGTGAAAAGATATAAAGTTTATATGGTGTGCATATCTAAGAAAACATATTCACAGCTTGGCTTTGGGTGCCTCTACCACCCCCTTGAACTTCTGCTTCAGAATCCGACGCAGGATCTTCCCACTAGGGTTCTTGGGGATCTCATCCACAAACTGCACACCACCCCGCAGACGTTTGTGGCTAGTGACCTTGCTATCCAGCCATTTGATAATGCTCGCTGCTTCTTCCTTTTCGCTCCTTCCAGAAGACTTGCTCTTGGCGCTGCGAACAACACAAGCCATAGGAACCTCGGAACCGTGTGTCTCACTCTCAATACCAATAACAGCAACATCATCAATAGCATCATTATCAACCAGATGTCCTTCCAGCTCGGCAGGAGGCACCTGGAAACCCTTGTACTTGATGAGTTCCTTGACACGATCGGTAATGTAGAAATTACCCTTGGCGTCCTGGTACCCAACGTCGCCAGTCTGGAACCATCCGTCCTCAGACAAACAGCCCTTAGTAGCCTCTGGGTTCTCGTGATAGCCCATGAACACGTTAGGTCCACTGACGTACAATTCACCAACCTCGCCGACGGCAACTTCCTTGGGTTCGGAACCATCCTCTGGCATAGTCATATACTTGGCTTGCATATTAGGCATCAAGCGGCCGACGGAACCAATAGCCTCGCGCCAATCCTCCCACCGCTGGGAGTGTGTGGTTGGGCTAGTCTCGCTGAGTCCGTAGCCCTGTTTGATGCCAACCTTGATGCGGGAGTAAACTGCCTCTACCAGCTCATGAGTCAGCGGTGCAGCACCGGAGTTCATCATGCGAAGACTTGAAAGGTCATATTTGTCGACCACCGGGTGCTTTCCTAGCAATAGCACCACTGGAGGGACAATGTAACTGAACGAGCAGCGGTAGTTCTGCACGTGAGCGCACCATTTTTCTATGTCAAATTTTGACATGACGACCAAGTGGTAACCCTTATATAAAGCCTGGGCAAGTAGGCAATTCAACCCTAGAGACTCACAGTTAGTATCGTGTTCATCCGAGCATCTACGCGATTGAAAGCTATACCATAGATATGATAGAACGGCAAAAATGCCAGTACCCGATCACCCTTTCCGTCAGGACCACCATTCCAACTAAGGTTTGCCCCTTCAGCGATGTACTGCTGCCTAATATTGGCAACGATATTCCGATGCGACAGCATGACACCCTTAGGCACACCCGTAGTCCCAGAAGAATAAACCAAGAAAGCTACATCCTTCGCGGGAGTGACCTTCTGCTTGCGGTAGCGAGTAGCACCAGAGATATTGCGCACAGAGCTAAAATGCTTGGTCCGCACATCGGGATCCCGCTGGTCCCCAATCAGGATAATGCGATCCTCGGACAAGCCGACTTTCTTCGCAGCTTCCCGCGCAACAGACAGCACCGAGGCCTGCGTTACAAGTCCCTTGGCGTTAGAGTTCTTGAGTTGGAAGGCCAGCTCGTCAACTGTGTAGCCTGGATTCGCAGGCGAAATAATTCCGCCGGCCCAAAGTGTGCCCCACATCACCACGGGTGTGTCGATGCTGTTTGGCGTGAAGAGGGCCAGCACATCGCCCTTGCGCCACTCATACAGAGCTTTCAGGCCCTTGCCAAAATCTAGCGAGGCCTCGCGTAGCGATTTGTATGTGTAATGGCGCTGGGTATCGGCATCTTGATAGATAACTGGTGGGGGTCAGCATGAAGAAAATTCAAGAGAAATGCAAATGCCGTGTTCAACGCAGCGCACCACTGGGTTCTCATTGAATATCACGCACTCTTATCGTCGGGGTAAGCCCTATCCTTGCGCTCAAATAGAAAGGTCCAGAGGTCCACTTCTGGGATGTCGACCAGAGGGTAATTGGAGGCGACAGGCATTATGGAATAATAAAGCCAAGGATTCGATGCCGGGGAATGTGATCGAGGCTCAAAAAGACTGTCAGGTGGAAGACGAAAGGGACGCACACGAGCAACCAAGTATGTACTTAAAAGAGGTGAGATGGGTCTTTCTCCGCAATCTCGGCTGACGGCTTGCCTCGGTCCAATATCGCGGGGGCCCAAGCCAATTAAAAACTGCTTGTTCCTTGACTCTTCGGCATTAGATTGGAGGAACTGAAAGATCCAATCCCATACTGTTCACTGCATATTCCGAATAATCATCTGTTCCGTTGAGGTTCATGCAGGATACTCATTGATATCCTTGACATCCATCCTTGATATCGGCACTCAGAGACCTCGATCTCGGCAGTTTGACAGAGATAAGCAACTACTTCACCGAATGCCGGATGAAACCTTGGAAGATAGAGGAAAGACACTTTTATAAAATAGCTCAGATAGAATAATAATAAGGTCTGGTGAATGGAACATCGCAATGTCATGCCCACCTGGAACCTCACAATTTGATAAGCATCAGCTTCAAACCTTCGAAGTCAGGTAATTTGATAGTGACCTGAAACAGTTTAATGCAAGACTATAATACACAGGACGACGTGGAGCGGCCTACTCATTCGGGAAGAGACCGTTGTAGGAATATATATATGTGTAGCTCGAGATATGTGTCCATGATAGCGATGCAAAGGTATAGAATGTGCTGCCAATGATTGCTAGTTTATATTCCATTACATTTACATACAATGAGGCTCAATAAATAAATAAATTGGATACCCACGATGCCCCCTTCCCCAGAGTAAAGGTAGCGGAGCCCAATTTGTGGAACAATTCACAGTAATGTGTACAACGGTGCAGTCCCCATGAACCTCACGACCTAGACGTAGGGACCATGAGACGGGCCTGTCGGGTGCTGTCTAGTCTGCCCCTCGGAATTACTTGGCCTACAATGTGTCTGGAAATGAATTTGTAGTGTCGTTAGATTTAGACTCCTTCCCCGGCGACACAAAGCGAGACGAGTGAAGGAGTATCTTTTTGACCTCGTCAGATTCGACGAGGGACTAAATCCAGATCCCAATATGATTTCATGCCGACAAGATCTTAAATTGAGTTGGAAACAGCGGACCCAGACTGGAAATACATGCTGAAAAAAAGAGCCCAGATGAGAGTTTTGCTGAATTCCATTTTTGCTTTCCCAGCACCATTTCCTCCACACGCCACTCCGAGGGGAATCGTTTGAAATCGTTTACTTGAGGGGAATGAAACGGGAAGAGTGGGTGGCACCAATACCGGGACGACCGTGCTTGACGGGCTTGCTAGGAGGTTGTTAGTGTGCTGATGTTAAATGGCCATGCGAACAATTCCCGGGAGCACATACTAAGAGATAGAGAACTCAGCCAAGTAGTGACCAACCATCTCGGGCTTGATCTCAACCTGGTTGAACTCCTTACCGGAGTAGATACCGACAACGGAGCCGATCATCTCGGGGACGACGATCATGTCACGGAGGTGAGTCTTGACGAGATCGGGCTTCTCGTTGGGCTTGGCCTCCTGCTTGGCCTTGCGGAGCTTCTTGATGAGACCCATGGGCTTGCGCTTCAGGCCGCGGTTGAAACGTCTGCGGGCACGGGCGTGAACGACATCACGGAGCTGCTCGGAGGAAAGGTCGAGGAGCCTGTAAAAGGATTCAGTCAGGATAATGTCCTTGCTTGTTTATGATCCCTGTTGTCCATTCGCAACGCAGCGACAAAGAGGCGAGAATAAAGATGCCATATGCGGTTCATCCATAATGGTTGTTGACATTGTAAATGACCACCTTCAATTTCGTCTCACGAGGTACTGGCTGCGAATGGATGTCCAAGGATTCGATGATTGGTAATGTAAACATACTGGTCGAGGTCAATGCCACGGTAAGAAAACTTGCGGAACTGTCTTCTCTTCTTGATCTCTGCTCGGCGAAGGTTCAGTCAGCGTCTGCGATCTTGCTGTAGTGCGTATCTCCCATGTCCATGTCGTTCCCCGCTAACGTCTTTCTTCAATCATCTCCGTATAGTCGATTGTAATGCGCGCCGTCTCTTCTCATTCGATTCTTCTGTCCATGGGCGATGGGTAGGGATGGGTTTGCTTGTTCATAACGTACCGGCAGCCTCCTCGGCGTTCTAGATGAAAACTCCATGTTAGTGTATCGCACGGGCTTGAAGGGCGAGGGCGAAAAACTCACGTATTCGATGTCAGCCATTTTTGCAGATATTCCTGTAAACCGCCTTTCGACCGTATCTCGAAAAGCGAAGGAGATGGGTTGTCGGAAATTGTCGTGTCGCTAAGCGGTCGGGCTGCTAACACACAGGCTGTAGGAGGTGGGCAGCACTCGTTAAGCGACGGGTAGGTTCCAAGCCCTAGACACTATACCCTTTCGGGTGATACGTAATTTACTTTGAAACATTGGTTTTTTCTTTGTAATCAAACTCTTTGTATTTTTTATTTACTTGACTTTGCTTGGGGAAACATCAGTAGCGTTTGTACCATTTGTGTAATTTATTTGTATTATGATAACCCATTCCCATGATATGGCAGAATCGGAGGCTGTTGATGGTCCTTATCAAAGTACAATCTGAGTACGCTTACTCCGTAGTTACCATGACGTGGATGATTGAATCTCTAGTTCTCCAAGAGAATTTGACACGCTAACTTTGAGAGCGGGTCTCGGCGATCATTCAAGAACTAAATTTACGCATTGAGAAAAAGTTGTAGCGAAGGCCAGACGAATTGTATTGGCTATAAGCTTATTCCAGCTCACATGAAGAGTCGCAACTGTATCAAAACAGTCTCAACAAAACACACTTGAGAAGCCAACCGGCGCAAATCTTGCCCGGACTGACGAACCAACCAAACATCTGTTCCCCAGAACTATGATTTTTAGGCCTTGGATTAAAGCGCTTAATCGAAGAGTCCGAATCCCATATCCTCATCGGACTCCTCCTCCTCCTTCTC